TAGACTTGAAGGTAATCGCAAAATAGGGAGCACAACCACATCCAACGACCTATAAAACATTGGTACCGAATGACTAGTAACGTCTCGTAGACGCCCTTCACCTTCAAGTCTTGCTCTTGATAACTCGCATTTCACATGTTTAGCTTGGGGCTATTGCGCTTTCATGGAACAACTTACCATTAGCACTATTCTTCGTTATTAACGCAATTCGGAATTGTGAGATCTAAATTCAGTATGCTCCTATTTCGCTCAATGCCTTTCATTAGTGGTGGCTGTACATCATCTTGCAAACACGGCTTCACTCAAGAACATTTTGAAAGAATTCAATTCGTGTTACGTTGCCTAATCTCGGTACAGATTACCGCAATTTTAGAAGCAAGCCCTGCAGTTAAAAAGAAGAAAAGAAAATCCGTCGACAGTTCCGAAGCAATGGTTGAAGACACTACTTCACCTGCAGATCACTCGGAGAAGAAGGCGAAAAAACCTGTAGAGACCGCTATCGAATCTGTTACCGGAGATCAGTCTGAAGGTTTGAACACGCTCTGTACCTCTTATATGCACTGCTTCAACTAGCAATTTCTGAATTTCTTCAAGCTGTATTATATGTAGGTACTAGCTCACCAATCAAGAAGAAGAAGAAAAACTCGAAGGCAGCTGATAACTCTGAATCTATGGCTGCTTCGCAGGAAGAACCTGCTGGGCAATCAAAGAAGAAGAAGGAAAAGTTTGCTGTGGGCCCGAGTTCTTCTTCCGATGTTAAAGACGGTGAAGGTGATTATGTGCTATTTTTTCCTCTTGCTTTATTTTTTTCTTATTTTTCTATAAGCCATTCTTGAGCTTCATCACCCTTCTTCTTTTTTATTTTAGTACCACCTTCTCAGATAGAGCAATTCTTCACCCTTTTTAGGTGTCACGCAAATATCCTCACCTTTGAAAAAGAAGAAGAAGAAAGTCATTCGACAAGCATGAAGTTACTGAAGAAGTTGCCGGTGATGGTATGTTTTACATTTTAGGTATTTGCTATTCTTTTGCTCCATTCGAGTGTTTGAGGTATCGATGCAAGCTCACCAACCAAAAAGAAGAAGAAGAAGAGGGAAAACGGTGACACTACGTTGGATTGTACTGCGATAAGCGAAATTGAGAATGAGGGTAGTCCAAGGAAAAAGAAGAAAAGGCAACATACTGAGGATCTGGGAGCAACAGCGAAACAGCCTGAAGGTGCATACGGTATTCTAGAGATTAAAAAAATATTTCCAAGATAAGCGTTTCTATAAAGTTGGTCATAAACTGGGTCTTTCTCTCTTCTCTAGATGCACGCAATGCATACCGTCATATCGAGCTGTGAGTGTGGGACGATTACAGACGGGTGCTCTGTTGGGTTTGCGAACAGCTAGATCGTCTGATTCTGGAGTTCCTTTGCTTTTCAATGTCATTAGAATCTTTATGACAGGAAAAATTCGATAAACAACTCATTATGCTTGATTCCTGTTTCTCGATGCGACCACCATTCTTCTCAAGCCTACCCTCAGCACCTTTTATTATAAGTCGGAGGGAAGGTTGTTGCATATTCAAGGCACCTGTAGGCCATATGTTCTGATAGATGATTCAGCAGCTGATGCACAAAAAATAAGCGTGGGAGCCCTAGGAGCTTTTTCTGGACTCCATATGATTCCCATTGATCTAGAACATATTTTTCGCTTGGGAATAATTTCGAATCATAAGAATGCCGACTTGTCTATGGACTGTGACGGGGCCGTGATATGTTATGAGATGATGAATAGTTGCTCTGTTTCAGTGTCCATATCGCTAGGGCTCATGTACAGCTGACATTTAGTGTGTACTGCTACATACACGTCTTTGAAGGAGTTGATCCATTTCAGGCGAATACGTGGTTGGTTCTCTGTCAAGCATTTTCGGTGGGAGCTCAGAAGTTCCAGTCGATTCAGGTATAGGCGGTTTTGATAAATGCACTTCGATGTTAAGCTATCTGAGCCATCGAGATGAGATTTAACGCATTGACGACAGCATGACGCGTATCCGCGTCAGATTTTAACGCGGATCAGCCTTTTTTCGATTTATTCGCATTTCTCTCTTCGAAAATTGGTCTGGTGTTCATTTTATCTAATTATTTGATTTATTTATCTCATTTTACAATGCACAATTACCGAAAGCGTAATCTAAAGGAGTTAATGACGATTTGAAAAATGAACAAATAATTGCCAAGCTACCCGCACAAAGGGCTGTCGTCAATATGTTAATGACCTGACCTCTCTTATCCTCTGGTAGGTGAGAGTACGAACATTAGGTTTGTTTTCCTTTGCAGGAGATGCGGTTCCCGTTGTCAAAGGTGAGGCTTGTATATCAGCCTAAACAAAAAAGAAGGGGATGAGGAGTGAGATTGCTGAATGGAGAAGGAATCAACTTTCAAGCAGAATCGTTTTAATAAAGGAAGGATCGCGTGCAGCAAAGTTTGTGGTTTTTGAGCGGTTTTTCGATGGATTTTGACGGATTTGCCTGGATTCAATAGTCTTAGTCTTAGAAATATGAAATCAGCTATTGTGGTGGAGTAGTAATTTTCCATCTCAACTTTTCCTTTTCCAATATCTCTATTGAAGATATCAGCCAGTTATTACGATGTGTCTCCCTTTCAAAATACAAATGCAGCTCCGACTAGATATGGGATTTGCCCAGCGATTTATTGAGGCTGTTTCTGTCAGAGTTCGATCTTTACAGAGAGAACCGTAAGAAAGAACAACGCATGAGTTTGGACGAGAAGAAACGTACGATCTTCGTTGGTAATGCTCCAGTGACTATGGACGAACGGTCGTGTAGAAAGGTGTTCTCTCAATACGGTCCGGTGAGTGAGAGCTAACATTGCGTTAACGCGCTAAGTTTCAGAAAGTTCAGAACGTATTCATGTTTCCTTTCCAGATTGAATCTGTGCGGATGAGAGGTGTCATGCCACCCAAAGAAACGATAACGAAACGTATCGCTCACATTTCGCACAAATTCCATGATAAGCAGAATTCCTTGAATTTCTATGTGAAATTTAAAGACGAAGAATCGGTGCAAAAGGCCCTGGCGTAGTGAGTTGTTTTTTCAGACTTTTCCTTGTGTACAAAAGCTGTATTTCTTCTCCCTCTTAGGAAAAACACATCCATCTCAAAGAACTGGGATTATCAGTGAAAGTGCCCAAAAAACAGTTCGGATATTACCTACT